TGTGTGTGCGTATACACACAGACGCAGCTCATCTTTCCATTGCTTTTTATGTTCTTGCAAGACAACTGCCTTTTAGTCTGTCACTTTCCTTAATGTCCAAAGCAAGGCTGGGAACCGCAGTATAAAGTCAACATGTGTTCATAAGAGAGTTGATTTCACTTGTCATGTGAATAACAGCCAATCTGGAACATAACATTTCAAGAACTCTCTCTGTTTGATTAGATTATTCTATTTGATTTTGACAAAGCAGAGATAATGAAACACCACGCTGTGAATCATCTCAATTGCACGTCCACAAGAGCACAGAAAAACAGCAGATATTCTGTATGACTTTCTCCCCAAACCGACGAGTAATCAGTCTCTTCCAAGTAGCAGGTTTATTAAATTCCTTAGTCCCCTTATGGACGGGAGACCATTTGAAGTCCGGGTAGTATTAATGCTTTGTGGCTTCTTAGCCTTCACAGTTAAAGAGATTTAACTACAGAGGAACCTCCAGAGATTTCTAGGATGGCTTTCTAAAGACATAAGAAATCTGGCTTAACATAAGAGAAATACTCAAACTAAGCAATTTCCGAAACCTTTAGCATTTCCAAATGCCTTTTAGGAAATTGTCTCGGTAAATTGACTCTGCATCATTCAAGTCACAGAAGTAAAATGTGTGAGTCATAGGCACAGGGCGCTCAAGCCCCTCACGCCACAGACGAGAGAAGTGGAGCCAGAGGAGGTCACGTGAAAAAATGAGTCACGGCTGTATCGTAAATAGCAACCTCAAATCCAAGGTTCAACTATTTGGAGAAAGTGGAACAGACTGGCCTGTCCTATTTAGGCTCAAAAGAGGTCGTCTCACCTACAAGGATCCCTTGTGTGCTGCGTTTATTTTTACTCTTAGCAGAAGAAAACCTCGGGGAATCCTTTGGAAGAAATCAATTTGCCAATGATTTAAATTGCTTAATTTGGCATTCTTTGAAAAAAAAAGAGAGAGAGAGAGAGAGAGAGCTACCAATTCCTTTAGCCAAATCTAAAGGGGACTGTTCCATATTCTCACGAAACAGCTCTGTGGGTTTTCTGACCTAGTCCGAGATCCTCCAGAAATAAAACACATCAAAGTTCCCCCAGGAAGACCCTATCTCTGCTCGTTGCTCTGAGGTGTTCATTTCCTCACCTAAGTACCAATAGCCTTGACTTGGTAATCACCCCCCGATTCCCCCAAGTAGGCGTCCTCTGTTTCCACGTCAGGATAGAACATCGTCAGTGTATTGTGAACTCAGACAGAAAGACTCTGGGCGACACCTACCATTATTTCCCCTTTTGTCTCTAAATCGTTTCTGCTTTGTATTTTGGGCTCGCTGTTCATGTCAGTTTCCACGATTTGCCCCATAATGTCTCTCTCACTTCCCACACTATTTATTTATTAGAAAACCAAGTCCAGCAAACTTAGAAGAAACGTCACTGACAACAGCGTAGAACTTCCAGGAAACCTCACTCCCACAAGGGTCGAGCTTCAATCACTGATAATTTCCGAAAGGGTTTAAACTGCACGGATTCTCTGAGATTTGAGTAGATACAGAGTGATGAAACGTTCTACCATGTTTCCTTCCTTCAGGACTGTTCTAGAATGGAAAATAGGATATACTTATTAAAAAGGTTTCTGTTTTGTTTTGTTAATCCACTTTATTGAGGTACAGTTGACATATGAAAATCTGCACCTGTTTAACACACACCTCTAGACACGGAATCTGTTTTCCATTGCCCCCTGACAAACGAACACAAACTGGATGGCTTAAACCAACACAAAGGTATTATCTTACAGTTCTATATAGGTTAGAAATCTGACATAGGTCTCATTGGAATAAAATCAAAGTGTCATCCGGGCTGTGTTCCTTTCTGGAGGCTCTAAGGAGAAGGCTTGTTTTTTTTTTTCCTCTTTCCAACTTCTAACAGGCTGTCCACATGTCTCCTGTGAGCAACATTGGGTAGAGTCCTAAACGTACCACTCTGACCTTCTTCCGTGGGTTCATCCACTTGTGACTCCTGTCTCTCTCCACTTTAGCAATCATTTTGATTACATTGGGTGCACCCAATAACCCAGTGTAATCTCTCCACCTCTCGGTCTGTAACGGTGTCACTTCCGAAAAGTCCCCTCTGGCCATGTGACGCAACATAGTCACAGGTCTGGGGTTTGGCACATCTTTGGGAGCCGTTATTCTGCCAACCACAAAGGTGTTTCATTGAGTTCCTTTCCTCTAAATCATATCTACATCAAGTTCTTAGTAAATTGACAATATCATCCACTGGTTTGTATAGTTAACAACTTTCCTTTCAAATTACATAACCCGTAATGAGGGAACAATTGAGTTTATAGCATAATCTTTGTGTTGAATGACAGTTGTAAGGTTAGCCCCTAGCCCGGCGGAAGGAGAGAGAATAACTCCCAATTCTAAGAATAGGTTTTATATAGAACTGCCCCCCCCCATAAAAAGGGATGTGAATATTTGTTTAACTCCCAAGGCCAAATCAAAAACTTCCTGCACATAAATCCACTTTGGAGTGTGACTCATTTGCACGGCCTGGCTTCACCATGGAAAATGAATTATGTAATTGTTACAAAGTCTTCACCCTGGATTCTGTGTAAAAGGAATTTGTGCAGATGTTATGCATTTTTTGAAACTTTAGTTATACCGGATTGATACACATCACATAATTATCTTCCTGCTCAGTATTTTTATAAATTGCCTCGTATATATACTAAAGCAGGGGTCGGCAAACTGTCGTCCACAGACAAAACCTGGCCCATAAGCTAAGAATGGCTTTTACATTTTTAAGTGTTTGAAAAAGCATCAAAAAAGATAAATATGTTGTGAAATAGCAAAATAAAATAAAATTCAAATTTCAGTGTCCTTAGTAAAGTGTTATTGGAGAACACGACCACACTCATTCTCTGCGGCTGCTTGCGAACTACAACGGCAAAATTGAACAGTTGCAACAGAGACCACAGGACCCATAAAGCCTGAATTGTTTACTACCTAGCCCCTTACAGAGACAGTTCATTGACTAACACAAAGCTGGCATTGCCGTGGGTAGGTATTTGGAAATACAGATGAGGGTGAAGAGGGAATTTGGGTTTAGGTGGGGGTGGAGGGTGAATTTGTTTATGATCATTATTAATGTTGGAATGCAACTAAAATGCAATTCCACCTAATTTTTAAGATCAGAACCATTCCAAAATAATCTAATTGAGAAAATGTATATTTTTAAAGCAACAAAATAATAAACTTGTATTTGATTTATAAAACGTTCCTTAAGTACCCATAGGCGAGCTGCATAGACTGTGGGTTTTTGAATCTTGGATTTACTTTTCCTTTGTACTTTTTACATAGTTTGTACTTTGGACATTCTCCGTATTAGGCAAAGAGGCATGCAACCTGTAGAATTTGAAAGATAATCTCACCAGAGAAGAATAAAGGTGATTAAATGTGTCTCGAAGTCAGCCTTATCCAACTGTTGCCAGTCAGCACTACACAAATCCAAGCAAATAGGCAAATCTGAGCAGTGCGTTTCCTCTTACAGAAGATTATTTCAAACAGTGACATAAACACTGTTGCAATTGGTTACAGTCAAGGTTTGGCTTTTAACTTTAAACGGATACCGAGCCTGTGTAAGCCTAGCAGTTGGAATGGAGCACGCTGACGTTAGAAAGCCTGACTACATATTCCATGTGCTGCTGCTTCCTCCAGGTAACGGAATAAATACGGCAATGCTCTGCACAGGTGACCCACTCCCAGCAAACCTTCTGCATAGAAATCAGATGCTCAGCTTGACCAGGCAGCCGTGGTGCTCCCAGGCCAGCCCACCAAGATCACCACGGTTCCTCGGGTTCTGCTAAGAGCAAGTTGGTTAAACCCTTACAGATAACCTACACTAATATTTCATTATTTTGAAGACAGATTTGGTAACTAAGATGCAAAATAACTATGCGCTGCGTGATCCCATGCAAGTCACATGAAGAATGTGCTTCAAGTTCATTTCCATGCACATCTGTCTAGTCTCTTTCAACTCCTTGATGTAGGTGTTTTCATGTCCAGTTAACAGATTGGGAAACTGAGGTTCATAAAACATGACCCAACTATGGGACCTCAGCCAGTACAAGGCAGAGCAAGCACCCAATCCAATGTCTGAAGCATCCAAACCCAATGATGCTCACGCCACTGGCCAAAACCAAATGTATCCCTGGTACCTCTAACGGGCAGGAGCTTTATTATCTGAGAAGGCTTTTACTCCTAAGCAATCACACGTTTTCAACAGTAGGAAGTAAAGTGCATGATTGTTTCTGACAGCTAAACCACACGCTGTAAAGCGAGCTAGATATCTTAAGCAGCTTATCCAGAAATTGATTGTATCTTATTTTTAAAAAGATGAATGTCTTCCTTTCGTACAACATAATTTTATTCCATTTCAACTCTCTTCCACGGTTCCTGTCATCAATCTCGTCAATGCCCATCTTCCTTACCCTGGTCGGAAAGGGCCAGGTTGTGAATCCCGCAAATGGATTGTGGGAATGTGGCGTGCTACCCAGCATGATAAGCAGCTCGTTTGAGTCTAGTTCAGGTTAAATGGAACTGCTAAGTGTTCAAATAGAGAAAGGCAGAATTTTATCATCTGCCTATTTCTTTTTCTTGTTATGAATCATTTTGATTGAGGTCCTGATGAGAAGGCCTGAGAGATCCAAATAATATCTTCTCACATATCCATCATCGATAGAGAGGAATCTAAATGCCATGTATTTTTGAAAGCCTTCCTGCCATCAGGGAAGATGGCATTTATATTTGGGCAAAGATAAAATGATCTGAATCATGTTAAGGTTTAAAGACCAAGAAATGGCCTCTGTCTTAAGCACCTCGAAATGAAGAATGTCAATAATCCTATTTTCAAGCAGGTTTGATACAGGACGTTTGCTCTGTTGGTTTACAAGGGAGATTTTTTTTCCTCTTTCTCTTCTCCAGGCTGACTGGAATGAACCTCCCCTCCCCTGTTATCAGCAGCAAGAACTGGTTACGCCTCCATTTCACCTCCGACAGCAACCATCGACGCAAAGGATTCAATGCTCAGTTTCAAGGTAAGAAAGCATTATCTTATAAGAAAAAAAAAATAGCAGAAGATATTCTGGTGTTTTCTAACCCTGAAAGTTTACGATCTTGCTGACAATGCAATAAGATATATAAATAAGCTCAAAAATGCCTCCTATCTCTTTTATGAACATTTAACTTATACAGGTAACAACTGGAAACTTATTAGTATAGCTTTATTACTGTCACAGTATGTAGTGCATGTAGAGTTTCTTGTTTAGCTGGAAGAGTTTCTAAGTTTTAATAAATATTTATTAGCATTAATTTTAATTACCATAAATCCGACCTGTAAATTTGCACAGTGGGCTGGTTATTGCCTTTACTCACATGCTAAGTAAGAATTGTAAAGCAGATAGGTTGCGTGAAAATGCACAAAAACATCGCAATGTCAAATTTAGTCCTGACGCATCTTCATACTGTATAGACACATAAACCCAACTACTTGACTTAGTAATTTACGTGTAATGAACCTTAAAAGAAATATGCTACATTTTCTGTACTGAGAAAAATGGAGAATCTATGGTCATTAGCATGTAGTTTCATTCTGAAACTTTTCCTTTGTGTGGAATTTCTAGTGTTAATGTATGAATAGTATCGTATCATGTCCTATATGTTCCTAGTAATGAATAATCCTTACTAATATAGCAATAGAATCCTTATGAATGAAGCAGAAAGCATTCCACTTGCATTTGCAAATAAAAATAATATGTCTACACTCAAAAATAATATACCTTCCCAAGAGAACTTCTCAAGCTTTCCCCAAATCGTGACCATGAGCATGTTGGTTCAATCCAGGCAGCTTTCCCTGAACACTTGCCACATGCCAGTCAGGATGCTGAGCCGTGCAGTGGACCCAGAACAAGGGAATTTTAACAACCCCTATGCTCCAAAAACTAGCAGGTCCAGAATGTTTAGAGTTTATAAATAACTCCCATGAAAGGCAGAATGCAAAGAAAACTCATTATAGCTCCTGAGGGAGATTCTAGGAATTTTTCAACAAACTGGTCTGAATATCTCTTATCTTACACGTTTTAAGCTCTATAATGCTTTTATTGTTTCCTTTTGGACAAGCAGTAGAAGAATAAGAGTAACTGGCAGGGAATGAGGTCCAGGTGGTGCTGAGAAGCACACACTGTTGGCCGCCCAGTCCCTGGGGCATGTGAGCTCACACAGAACTCGCCAGACTTAGAATCCAGGGGCAAATTTGTTTCACCAAAATATGTTTTATACCTTGCCAGGAGCGTTGATAGTCCCACTGTGTCTTCTCATGTTTCCAGAAAGCTCTTATCTTTTTTTTTTTTTTTTTTTATTTCAGGGTATAATGAGGGTTACATTTTTGTCTTTGCCTCGCCCAAGCGAGAGTTAGAGGCATGCCCTTCCCCTCTACAATGCTCCCCATGTCCTTTAGTTGTGAGTTAACCCCCTCATCCACCAAATCCCTGGAGAGTATTACTGCCATGTGAGCACCATAGTGTTGATCAGTCAGTGCCAATTTGATGACGAGTACATGTGGAGCCCATTCTTCCGATCTTGTGGTGCCTCACTTTGGATAATGGGCTCAAGCTCTATCCAGGAAAATATAAGAGGTGCTAGATCACTGTCATTTCTTATAATTGAGTAATATTCCATTGTACACATACACCATATTTTAATAATCCACTCATGAATTGATGGGCACTTGGGTTGTTTCCACATCTTTGCAGTAGTGAACCTTGATCCCCTTTGGTTACAAATACACAGTCCTGAAGTTTTGTAGGTGTGAAAACAACACGTTGTCACTTCCCCTGTGACCAAGGCAAGGTGGTTCTTTTCCCTTTACATTCCTGCCTTTGTCTGCCTTTATCTTTCGAGGCTCTGCCCTCTAACAGTAGTTAGAGTAGAATAAATGTGGGAAGGACACGTTGGTGGTGGGGCTGGGGTCACACTGGGACAGGGTGGGTGAGAGGGAGGAACACTCCACACAGTCTGGTGGGAAGTGCTACCTGAGGTTTCTCTGCATTAATCCACATTCTATGGGCGTATCTGTCCCTGATTTAAAGTAACCACAAGTCAATATTTAGAATGTCAATGGACTGGCCAGATAGTTAGTTAGGTCGATTTATAGAGTTGTCTCTGAAGTGTTGATTGATCTTCTCTGAGAGCCTTCATTAATTGATGGGCACTGAATAAAAGAAAAATTTCTAAGTGTCATTGCTCAAGCCTGCCCAGTGCATTCGTCACTTGTATCTGTGCTTAGAAGAAAGCTTAAACATGGAATATCAAACGTGAAGATTCTCCAAGCTCGTTGAAATAAAAACCATACTGGTTGGCAGAAAATTGCAATAGCTGAAATGTAAGCAGTCATTGATTTTAAAAGTAAATATATATGCAAATATGTAATTAATTAACTAAAGCATTATAGATAAAGTGCATATTTAAATTATATAATTAAATAATATAAATTGCATTATTAAATTATATAAAGTACATATATACTTTATATTTATATATAATTAAAGCATAAACATAATTTAATTATATATATATAAAAGGAGACATGAGTAGAAAATTTTGCACCTAAGTCAAAAAAGGTAAAAAGGTACAAAAATATATGGAAGGCCTAACAATAATATATTAGAAACAGTAACTAGGCTTAACAGTAATGTATTAAAAAAATCTTTTCACACTGACTTTGAAGTTCAGCTCCCAGACAACATGAACCTGCCTCACTCCGTCACCCCGGCTGGAGTGCAGTGGCGTCATCACAGCTCACTGCAACCTCAAACTCCTGGACTCAAGTGATCCTCCTGCCTCAGTCTCCAAGTAGCTGGGACTACAGGTGCATGCCACCACGCCCAGCTAGATTTTTCTATTTTGGTAGAGATGGGGTCTTCCTATATTGCTCAGTCTGGTCTTAAATTCTTGGCCTCAAGCCTTCCTCCCAACTGGGCCTCCAAAGTGCTAGGATTACAGGCATGAGTCATGATACCCAGCCTGCCTTCGTTTGGTTAGAACAGAGGCCTCATTTAACGGGGGGTATCGTGCCTAAAACCACAGCTAGGCCAACCATCTCTGGAAGGTGGGGTTCAGTACTAGATGTCACCCTTTTGAGGACATTGACCAAACACAGAGTAACCAGGAGGATGACAAGAAACATTCAAAGGAGGACTCGAACCAGCTTAGAAGGAGGCCGATACATGTTACGCAGAAAAACATTACACTTATGGATCTGGTTCCAGAGGGTAGAACTATCACCAATAAATGGAAGCTACCGAGTGGTCACTGCTACTGCTTCTAGAACATACCCAAGAGTGCAAGAAAGCAGGAGGCAGAGCATTAGCTTAGAACAGAGTCCCCACCAGCCGTCCAGATGACCACCTCTCCGCATGATGCTGTCCTGACTTTGCAGGTCGAGGCCTCAAGGTTGTTCACTCTGAGGGCACATGGGAAACCTGTTCTTCATTTACATCTTCCCTTCTTTCTGTGTCTAAGTTGAATACCATGAACCCCAAACACATGAATGGGGAGAAACCCGCTATTGTTATCGCCAACACAATTGCAAAGAAGAAAATATAGTTGATTGATATTCTAGAAAACCAATAAGACAACAAAATTATTTGGAATTCCTGCAGAAACTCTGAGTGGTCCCTAAGCTGCCAGCGCAGCCCTCTGGTGGCATTTCTCTATGAGAAACTGCCTTGTGATCCAAGAGTGTGGTGCACGGAGAGAATTTTATAACTTTTTTTAAAAAAAACAAAGAATATGCTACTTTTAACTTGGTTCTTTTCTTGGTCAAATAAACCACCACCACCATAAAATATTCTTTCTTTTCTTTCCTTACGTTTTTAACTTTCATCTCCAAATTCTTTATTCCCTGGGTCTGACACTTTCTTCTTTGCCTTTCGCCTCTTCAATCATGTAATCACGTCCTGCCAAAAGCAGTGGTAAAGTTGATTGACAAGCAAAACTGTTCTGTAGTTGCTACTCCTGAAATATATTCACGTTCAAAATGGCACTGTGAACAAATGAAGTGGCAAATGTGGTTTTAAAAAGCCCACTTGATATATTTGCAATCCCTTCTGCATACACTGGGCTCTCATTGAATGAGAGATTTATGTAGGACACATTATTTCTTTAAATCAGCTGAAAATTGAGCCCATTCTTTATATGTGGCCTCCATCATTAATTATAATTAAATAGGCACCTTGTTAGCATAATCCATCATCTAGACAATCTCAATGTCGACAAGATGAATTTTTTAAAAATATATTAATCTTGAACCATGAAGACCTCCTCACTACTAAACATCTGTACAAATGTTGAGCTCCTGTCTTCCATGTGTTTACCTGGCCATTTATAAAATTAAAATTTTCACAAAATGAAATTCTCATTGATTTTTAAAGCTGATAAATCATTTTGAAAGAAAGTGTTTGTAATAAAATTCCAATTTATCTAGGGAACAGTCCAGCTCATCAATCAAGGGAAACCTGATCATGGCTATAAGATTGTGTTGACACAAATAATTAGCTTGCTCTTTAGGTTATAGTTCTATATAACTAGGCAGGTGTGGAGTATTTTGTCCATCAAAATAAATTGGTGAAATGTAAGCTTGTAACTTCTAAGTCATTCTTAAAACCGCTAAGCCTCTATAAGGAAAATATTTTTTAATAAATATAAACTCATTCAAATAAGAAACCCATGACCACTTTTCCTAAATATCTACTTTACTTTCTCAGACCAAAAGATTCTTGCAAAGTTCCAACTCCAGTACTTTTAACACTTTGGAAAAGATTCCCGCCTTGTCCCAAACCACTGGCTCTTGGCCTCATTACATTAAGTCCTTGTTATTAGCCAATGCCTTCCTGTCTGTGTCCCACTGTCCTACCTTATAAAGTAAGAGTAATAGTATCTACCTCGCAGAATTATTGTGGGTTTCTAATAACATGAGAAGGAAGTGTGGCGGGCATTGTGTCCAGAGCCCTGAAAGGCAGGAGAGCTCCCTGTGCCCTGG